GATCCTGTGTATGGGTCTCTCCAGGTAGTGCTGCAGTGGGGGGACAGGTGGCTGAGACGGATCCTCGCTAGCTAACGTTTCCTCGGAGTATCTCTGAGGAAAAATTCAAAATGAAAATCACTCTTTGTGACAAAATTGTTCAATAATGACAAGAAACTCGCCCCGTGAAAATATGATCGGACAACACTGGTTTGCTAAGGTCAGTCCTCCTCTCAAGTAAATGGGATCATATAGTGCAAAAATGCATCTTAGAGTCCCGTGTGCCACCAAAGCTTTGCTTCCGGCAATACACATTGCAACCCACCCTGTTGATTGCCTTCCCCCATCTCGTGGCAATTTCTGGTCCCTAGATTGCAAGAGATTGAGGGGAAAGACTGCCTTCTATTGTTATCATTAGCATCCCTATTAACCCTATTATTATCTGCCCATTCTTAAGAAACAGTAAACCCTAACCAAACAACAACTGTACCAAGGCAATGAAGCATGCTGCTTGGAAACTCTGACAATACGATGGAAGAGAGCCGTACCTTCTCTCTAACTGCTGACGCCTGGCCAACACTGTATGCTTGAGTTCGCTTGTTTTTATCTTAGCTCTAATCAGATGCTGTCAAATACTATTACCAAGTCTTCATGTTATACTGCAGTTATTGATCTGTGGCTAGGATAGACTGATCATTTCAACACCTAAAGGAGCGTTTGCATGTTGATGTGAAAGGGCCCAAATCTGAGCCTCCTCAATGCCTGGTTAGGGCTCCTTCTATCCATCATTATTTTAGCTTTGTTGCCGCCGCTAATAGAAGCTTTATCCATCTTTCTTCCACCCTAAAGATTACTGCACCCCAATTTGTACTAATTTCCTATTTAGCTATATAATAAACCTCTTGAATGTTACATTTAGAACAATGGATCCTTGGGCACTTGGTGGCTGGAGATATAGGATGCATATTTCCCAGTATAAATTTTGGCTCATATTTTACCTTGTAGAAGTCCTGAACAGCTTTGCTGACAACGACGGACTCAGCCTGTATCCGTCCCACCAGATACTGGATGTACTTATCAAAATCCTCCTCGTTCTTAATGAAGCACATGGCCACATCGTCATCGGTGTCGCATTTTTTCAGGTCTGGGAAGAAAGCGCTGTGGAGGAGGAGGAGGAAGAAGGACATCTGTGAAGAAACTGGACCCCATTGGCTCTAAATAAACTGTTGAAATATTAAAGCGTCTTCAAGACCAGAACATCTTTTTTATAGCAACACCGTGTTATTCAGTGGAATTCACCCAACAGGGCAGGGATTATT